ACAGGAGCCTTTCACAGCTCAGCACATTAATATGGCTTAATATATAACTCACTTTTATACTTTTCTGCTGGATGGTTAAGAACAAGATAAAGCAAGACCTATATAACAAGAAATGTAACTTCTGTCTCTGATAGGGTCAGTCAAGTACGCTCAGGATTTATCCTGTAACCCTGTACCTCAGGTTGCAGATCCTTTGTTTTGTCAGTGTCAGTCATGTGGATGAGTCATGGCCATTGCTTGACCAATTTGCTCTCTGTGAAAGCCAGAGAGAATGTTTTCGCTCCTTAGGCACAGTCTGCATCATCGATCACATTGCTCTGTGGCCTCATAATCTCCTTAATCAGAAAAATTTGGGACAAAATTGAGTTACATGATGTTACGGTACAGGTTCTCCTATATCCTGAGTCTCCACTGACCTTGAAAGGCTAGGGTCAAAATGTTGGCTGTCCTTGCAGCCCTTCTATTTCTCTAGCTTTTGGTCTGCAAACTTACATTGTTAACCCTCCAAAAGAGAAGCTTATAATTACCCTACAATATATGCAGTTGGGTTTACCTTCATTATCTATCTTAATATCAAACATCTTAGGTATAACATGAACCAGGTATTTTCCTTCAAGCATTGATATGTTAAACTTTAAGTCCCTACAGAATATGGAGATAAAAATTTAAAAAATGAAAAATATTTAAAGAATATGGATAAACAATTACATATTTTTTCACAGAAATTTAGAAATCTAACCATATTCAGCATTGTGGCAGGACAGTCCTGTGACTTTGTTTTTCTTTTTCTTGTGTCATTTATTACCCATTTTTTTAAAAAAACAAGCTTTTACTTGTGAGACGGTATGGTAATACTTGTTATGTCATGACAAGAAGTACGTATGTAGAAGACCAGAATGACAGGCTTTACCCGCGTGACCCTTCTGTTACATTGCTATCTTCAGTACCGTTGCTTGGTTCACAGGTATCAGCATATATAGTTAGTTGGTCAGGGTGAGAATCCTACCAATTAACTGCTAGTTTCAAAAGCCTGCTGATGTTTCTCAGGAGCATTGCCTTGCCCATCTTGTGTATATAAATGTATGGCTTTGTCCCTGTCCTGTTTCCCAGGTTTGCGCCTTGCCCTCTCCTCATTGTCCAATCCTCAAGTTCCTGCTTTCTTTTTAATTGTGTTATACCTTACTATTAGTATTATTTCTTTGGAGTTCTTATACTAGGGAGACTATACAATATTTACACATGTGGGTCTGGTTTATTTCACTTATAAGTATATCTTCAATTGGCATCCACTTAAATATGAAGAATTTGAGTTTATCATTCTTTATAGCTGAGTAATTCTCCATTGTATAAAAAAAAAACCCACATCTTTTTCAACCATTCCTCATGTGACAGGCATCTGGGTTGTTTCCAAGATTTGGTTATCACAAATTGTGTTGCTATAAACATAGGCACACATATATCACTATGATATGAAGTTTTCCATTTCTCTGGGAAAAGTCCCAGTAGGAGGATAGCTGGCTTGAATGGGATTTCCAGTCCTAGTTTTTTAAGGAGTCTTCACACTGATTTCCATAATGGTTGCACCAGTTTACATTCCCACCAGCAGTGGAGAATGTTATACATTCCCCACAGCCTCTCCAACATTTGCTGTTGAGTGTTTTATGATAACCATTCTTTTGGGGATGAGATGGTATCTCAGTGTTGTTTTAATTTGCATTTCATGGATGGCTAGTGATGTCAAGCATGTTTTCATATATTTATTTGCTTCTTTAATTTCATCCTGTGAGAAGTGTGTGTTCATCTCAGACACTGATTTCTGGAATGGGTCTTTAAATTTAGGGGCCCTAATATTTTTTAGTTCTTTATAAATTCTAGAGAGCAGACCTTTGTCTGAGTGCTTATTAGTTAAGAATTTTTTGAAATTTGTGGGTTGTCTTTTCACTTTGTTGGTAATTTTTTTTGACATGCAAAAACTTACTAATAAGAGTTGCTCCCAGTTGTTAATTCTTTCAAGTATTACTCATGTGATTTGATTTTTGTTCATGAACTCTGCCTGCTCCTATATCTTCAAGAGTTCCTCCTACTTTCTCTTCCAGGAGATTTAGTGTTTCTCTTTTAATGTTTAGATCTTTAATCCATTATGACTTTAGCTTAGCTCATGGTGATAGACCTGGGTCAAGTTTTAGTTTTCGGTATGTAGAGATCCAGTTTTTCCAGCACCATTTGTTAAAGAGGTTATCTTTCTTCCAGTAAGCGTGTTTGGTCCCTTTGTCAAAGATAAGGTGGCTGAGTGTGTTCATACAGGCCTCTGCTTCTAAACTATTCTATTCATCTTCAGGTCTATTTCATTGCCAATATCATGCTGATTTTATCACAGTAGCTTTCTAGTATAATTTCTTTTTTTTTTTGGCAGAACTGGGTATTGAACTCAGGCCCTTGCGCTTGCTAGGCAAGCACTTATTCTACTGAACCATCTCCCCAGCCCCTGTAATATAATTTCAAATCAGGAATTGTGATGCCTCCTGCCTTGGCTTTTTGGTCAGAATTTCCTTTGCTATTCTAGGTATTTTCTGGTTCCAAATAAATTTTAGGAATGATTTCTTTAGGTCTGGGAGGTATGTTGGTGGTAGTCTGATAGGGATTGCATTAAATCTGTATGACAATTTTGGGAGTATGGCCATCTCCACATGTTGGTTCTTCCTATCCAGGAGCAGGGAATGTCTTTCCATTTTCTGAAATCCTCTAGGATCTCTTTTTTCACAGTACTGTAATTTTCCGTGAAAATATCTTTGACTTTTTAGTTAAATGAATTCCAAGGTATTTCATTTTCCGTGGTGCTGTTGTAAAAGGTAGTGTTTCTCTAATTTCCCTCTCAGTGTGTTTGTTGTCTGTGTAGAGGAATGCTATTGACTTTTGAGTATTGACTTTGTATCCTGCTATGCTACTGAATTTGTGTATCAATTCTGGTAGCTTTGTGGTGGAGTTTTTTGGTCTTCCAAGTAAAGTGTCATGTTATCTACAAATAATGATAATTAACTTTTTGTTTACCTATTCTTATTCCTTTTATTTCTCCCTCTTTTCTAATGGCTCTAACTAATGATTCAAAGACTATATCGAATAGGAGGGGTGATAGAGGACATCCTTGTCTTGTACGAGATCTGAGAGTAAAAGATTTCAGTTTTTCCTGATTTAGAATTATATTAGCCTTTGGGTTATCATAGATGGCTTTTTTCAAATTGAAGTAGAGGCAATTTATTCCAATTTTCTGTAGGACTTTGAACATGAATGAGTGTTGGACTTTGTCAAAAGCCTTTCTGCATCAATTTAGTTGATCATGTGGATTTTTGATTTCGCTCTATTGATATAGTGTATTACCTTTATAGATATTCAAATATTGAACCATCCTTGCATCCCTGGGATGAATCCTACATGGTCATGGTGTATGATCTTCTTGATGATTTGCTGTATTCTGTTTGCCAGGATTTTATTGAAGATTTTTGCATCTATGTTCATGAGGGAGATTGGCCTGTAGTTCTCTTTTTTAGTTGCGTCTTTCTCTGGTTTTGGTATCAGTATAATACTTGCCTCTAGGCATGATTTTGGGAGAACTGTTTCCTTTTCAATTTCATTGAAGAGTTTGTGGAGTGTAGGGATTATATCCTCTGAAAATTTCTTGTAGAATTCAGCTGTGAATCCATCAGGACCTAGACTTATCTTTGTCCATTTTTTTAATTACATTTCATATTTCATTGTCTGTTATTCAGTTATTAAGAGTTCTTATATCTTCTTCATTCAGTTTTGGTAATTTGTTCTTTTCTAGTAATCTGTCCATTTGTTCTGTGTCTTCCATTCTGTGAGGATAAAGATTCTCAAAGTAGCTATTAAGAATCTTCTGAATTTCCACTGAGTCCGTGGTAATTACACCCTTTTCATTCCTTATTGCTTGTATTTGAATTTTTTGTGTCTTCTTTTTGATGAGGTTAGCTAGGGGCTTATCAATTTTACTTAGTCTTTCAAAGAAACAGGATTTTGATCCATTGATTCTTTGAACTGTTTTCTTCCTCTCAACTGAATTAATTTCTGCTCTAATCTTTATGATTTCTTCCCATCTTTGGGCTTTGGGTTTGGTTTGCTGTTCTTTTTCTAAAAGCTTGAGCTGCAGCATTACAGTGTTTATTTGTTTCCCTTCTCAGCTATAAATTTCCCTCTAAAAATTTCTTTCATTGCATCCCATAAATTCTCATAAGTTTTGGTTCAGTTTTCATTGAATTGTAGATATTGTTGAATTTCTTGTTTGATTTCATGTGTGACCCATTGATTGCTGATTAGGGTGTTGTTTAATTTCCATGTATTTATGTGGTATTTCTCGTTTCTTTCCTCATTTCTTTCCAGTTTCATTGTACTGTGGTCAGGTATTATGCATGGAATAATTTCTGTTTTCTTTCATATACTTAAGCATGACCTATGTACTAGTATGTGGTCTATTTTAAAACATAACCCATGTGCAGCTGAAAAAAATGTGTATTCAGCTGTGATTGGGTGGAACAGTATATATGTCCACTAAGTCCATTCCTTTTAATCTCTGGTTCAATTCTGCTACTTCTTTGATAATTTTTCATCTGTTCAACCTATCTTTTGGGGATAAGGAGGTGTTAAGGTCTCCTCTTAAGATTGTGGTATTGGATATTAGGTTTTTCATGTCCATTAAGAGTTGCAGGGGCTGGTGGGATGGCTCGGTGGTCTGGGGCATCTACTTAGAACAAGCTAAGCTAAGCAAAAAGCGCAGAGACCGCGGTTCGGTCCCCAGCACCACGTGCCAGCCAGCCTCGCCCCCTGGTGGGCTGAACTGGCCACACACACACACACACACACACTAAATAAATAAAGTTATTAAAAAAAAAAAAAAGAGTTGCATTATTGGCCCCACCTACGCGGCCGAGGCTGGCCCGGCCTTCCCTGGCCTCGGAGCTCTTGGGAACCCTCGCCCGGCGCGTGTTTTGCAGATGACGGGTTCTAACGAGTTCAAGTTGAACCAGCCGCCGGAGGACGGCATCTCTTCTGTGAAGTTCAGCCCCATCACCTCCCAGTTCCTGCTGCTCTCCTCCTGGGACACGTCGGTGCGCCTTTACGAGGTGCCAGCCAACTCCATGCGGCTCAAGTACCAGCACGCTGGCGCGGTCCTGGACTGCGCGTTCTATGACCCAACGCGCGCATGGGGTGGGGGATTAGATCATCAGCTGAAAATGCATGATTTGAACACTGATCAAGAAAACCTTGTTGGAACCCACGATGCCCCAATTAGATGTGTTGAATACTGTCCAGAAGTGAATGTGTTGGTCACTGGAAGTTGGGATCAGACAGTTAAATTGTGGGATCCAGAACTCCTTGTAATGCTGGGACCTTCTCTCAGCCTGAAAAGGTCTACACACTCTCAGTGTCTGGAGACCGGCTGATTGTGGGCACAGCAGGCCGCAGAGTGTTAGTGTGGGACTTACGGAGCATGAGCTATGTGCAGCAGCGCAGGGAATCCAGCCTGAAATACCAGACTCGCTGCATCCGAGCATTTCCGAACAAGCAGGGTTATGTATTAAGCTCTATTGAAGGCCGAGTGGCAGTTGAATACCTGGACCCAAGCCCTGAGGTGCAGAAGAAGAAGTATGCCTTCAAGTGTCACAGGCTAAAAGAAAATAATATTGAGCAGATTTATCCAGTTAATGCCATTTCCTTTCGTAATATCCACAATACATTTGCCACAGGCGGTTCTGATGGATTTGTAAATATTTGGGATCCATTTAATAAAAAGCGACTGTGCCAGTTTCATCGGTACCCCACCAGCATCGCATCACTTGCTTTTAGCAATGATGGGACTACGCATGCAATAGCATCATCATATATGTATGAAATGGATGACACAGAACATCCTGAAGATGGTATCTTCATTTGCCAAGTGACAGATACAGAAACAAAACCCAAGTCCGCCTAATCATCTCGTGAAAGTGGTTTCTCTATGGAAAGCTTTGTTTGCTTCCTACAAGTGCATGCTTATCCCCTAAGGGATGTGTTGTAGTTACTATGGCCCTGTTGTTTAGTATGTGCATTTTTCTGTTTTCTGTCTTACAAGAAATTTGTCTTTATGTTTTTTAGTATCTTGCTTAGGATGGGAAGTGTGT